GTCTGCGTGGGTCCTAATGCCCCAGTATAGTGACAGGAACACTATACTGTAAAAAGGAACCATCCTTCGGATGAGACATACAACCAAGGTCCTGAATCTCTGTGGTCATTAAAAATCCCAGGATGTTTCTTGAAAAGATTGGCCTTTACCAATCATGGTCTCCTAATGATCCCCATCTCTGAACTGGCTTCATCACTCTGTTCTCCTCCCCATTGAGAGCTGGTGTGTGGGGAGAGTACCGGTGCACTATGGCTGCTGTCACATCGTTCAGGTGGGGGCTGCACACTGGTGGTGGTGGAGGGGATCCCCATTACCTGTAAAGCGCTTTGAGCAGAGTGTCCAGAAATGTGCTATATAAGTTTAAACAATTGTTATTATTATTATTATTATTATTATTATTATTATTACACAGAGAAAGGAAATAAGGTCACGTCACCTGTATGATTTCTTCATGTGCTTTGCTACTCAATCTAAATGTGCAATGTCCTGGAAGAAGTCCCTGTTTGGGCTGGTGGTACAGTACAAGTCTGATTCATTTAGTTAATAAGAATGTAAACTATGAGAGGTTGTAAACAATAGGGGGCCCATATAGCCTGTGCGATTGTTAATGGCTAATTGTTCACATCTAGCCATGTCTTAAAAGGAGCCAGGACTTCAACAACACGGCTGGGTAGAGTGTTCTGGTTAGCTCGCAGAGAATCGTCTCCTCTGTGAGTTTTAAATGCACTTCCCAGCACTTTCCTCCTGTGTGCTCTGATCCATATTTCCCTGTTAATTCTGAAGCAGTTCACCCAGGTGGCTTCGTCAATGTCAGTGAGGATTTTGAATACTTGTATTGGGACCATTCTTATTTTATAGTGAGCAGAATATTGGTAGTATTTACAGAATTAAACAATGAGTATAAAATATTATAATAGAAAACTTTATAATGAGAGTGGCGTGGCTAGCCCAGTGATTAATATTGCTGCCTTGCAGCACTGGGGCCCTGGGTTCAATGCCTGGGGTGCTCTCTATGTGGAGTTGGTATGTTCTCCCCATGTTCCAGTTTCTTCCTCCAGTCCAAAGACATAATGGAACGTTAATTGGCATTTGGGAAAATTGAGAGCGTGTACACATCTGTGTATGGACTGGGATCTCACCCAGGGTGTGCACCACCTTGCACCTGTTGCTTGCCAGGATAGGCTCCAGCTCCCCTGTGAACCAGAATTGGATGAAGTGGTTAGAGAACACATATAATACATTCTATCTTACAGAGGGCACCTGAGAAGTGAGAAGCAGGTCCATTGTCCATTAATTATTTTGGTGGTGGTGGAGGGGAGTCCCCATTACCTGTAAAGCACTTTGAGTGGAGTGTCCAGAAAAGCGCTATATAAGTGTAAGAATTATTATGATTATTATAATTATTTTGCAAGGGTCTGAGAGAATGGGAAAATGATGGCAGCTTGTCTTATTGTCAAAATGGTGCCCACTGGCAAAGCTTGCTCAGTCAATATTGGGGTACATTCTGTAACATAATACACTTTAAATTCATTTAAATTGTTTGGAAATAATATTATACAGTACTGTAACCGTGATATAAAACTAGAGGTTTTAAAAAGGACAAATATTCTCCTGCAGTGTAAATGCAAATTAACCTGTTTCGGAGCTGTGCAATGGCAGGCTGAATTTACAGAAATAGCCCTGCCCCCAGTCCTGAAGTCACACCCTGCATCCCCTCCCCCAACTCCTTTCTGTTGCTAGGTAACAAGTCCAAACAACTATGTCAATCATGGCGTCCAGATCAAACAAGTTTCAGACAACGGCATTTGAAGCTGAGGATTTTGCCTTTGAAGAGAGGGTGTCACTGTACATGCTACTGGAAGACTCACAAAGGGCAGTGAAAAAGGTTTGTATTAACACCTTTGTTTATTCAGAGACCTGTCAGGTACTGCACACATTCCCTTTATTGATCTCCACTTCACACAAACACTGCAGTACTGTGTATTTTACTTACAGTAGTAATAAAATAATTAATATCATGATTTATGAAAAACAGGTTTAGTAATTTACAATGACATTAAGGCCTACCCTGCTTTACTAAGGCCTTGTTTTTAAAGAATGACTATAAATTTCCTTCTATCTGTGCAAAACGTAGAAAAAGAACCATACAAAAGTGACTGAAACAGAATCCTTTTGAAAAGGCAAAAAGAATAAAGGATTTTCTAGAGTATACTGCACAACACTGTTGTAATAATTACTAAACAACCACTCCATGTGATTAAATCTAAAATTTGATTTTCTTTCAGCAAAATATGGACTTCATCTGAGAGATTGTAATACGTCTTTCCATTTGGTATTGAATTTACAGCTCTTTTAAGCTACTGTATGTAGTTAGTCAGGAAGAGTGACCAGAAAAAATAAGGCCTAATATATTTATTTTTTCTCTTGAAAGCTGAATTCCTGAAGTGATTAAAATTAGGATAACCAATATATCAAATCTTATTGAATAGGTCTTAAGTACAGAAATGTATATGCCAGTATAACTTTAAATGCATCACAAAGTACCTGGGCTATGAGCTATAATGTACCCATTCAATAAATATATCCAATCCAATAAATAATGTTAGCTGCTTGTCTAAGGCTTTGGTCTCACATCCAAGTGAGACTTTTCCAGATTTTCAATGAAGGAGAAATGTGGTCTGTAGTCATAGCAACACAGCTTCCCAGACAAGCTATCTGTGGAATAAACAAGATGACAGCATTTAAAAAGAAAGAAATTAAATTCAATCCAACCCTCTGGAACTCTGTCCTCTAGCTCTTTAAACACAATGGAACTACTGTAAATTTAAAAGCTTGTGGTCAGTACTTGCCTCTGGCTGTCATACAGGAAGCTAATTTTAAAACAGATCTGTAATGATAGCTTGTCTGAGTGTGTTTTGTGACACCAGGGAGCCTTTACGTCTCTAGGATATACTGTGAATGGAAGTAAACAGCAATAGAAGGCAAGTCCCAGCTACACACAAACTAGCCGTTGCCTAGTTAGTCTCAGAACTGGGAATGGAGGTTAGAAAAACAAAAAGTTCTCCTGTTGAAAAAATTGGAACCAGCTTGTTTCATCATCTTCTGGACAAGAGGACGCTTTTGAATCCCAAGGAAGAGGTGGTCAGTATATCTAGCATAAGTGAACTCATTGATATGCACAATATTGATTCCCCATGCAGTGTAGTGAGCAAACGGACGGATTCTCATGGGTGATGGAGAGAAACGAAATATTTTTTTTCTGCAACACTGCAATCTAAAGGTTAACAAAGCCATTTGAATCAGAAAGAATCTCATTCCAAAGGCAGTATTTAAAGGAGCTTCACAGTGTTTTAGCAGTATTAATATTCACATTTTGCAGAGATTTTAGATAAGACTAACTTACATGTTTTGGAAAAATTTGGGAGTTTTAACTAATAAGAATTAGTTAAAGAATTAACTCACACAATGAATCGTATACTGTATTATTGCATTAGAGAGGTTATTTCTATTATATTATATAGCATAATGAAACAGCTACACATTTAAGTTTTATGTTAACACCGTTTATCATAGTTGATGCTTTATGCTAATACACAGCTGGACTCTTCCATTCCTAAAGCAAACATTTCTTTGCTCATAAAAAATATTGAATAAAAATTCAAGCAGTTCTGAAAAGGGCATAATGAAAGATAGAATTTAAAAACATTGCTTTGGATACAACTACTTGTGAATGAAGAAGGAAAATATAGCCATGCTTGTGGGCACCATTGACTCCCACTGTTGCCTTGGAGCTCTTGGGCCCCAGGTTTCATTCTGGACTGGGGTGCTTTCTATGCGGAGTTTGAGTGTCCTCCACTTGTCCAGGTGGGTTTTCTCTGGGTGCTCCAGTTTTCTCTTCCCTCCCAATGATATGCTGTACAGGCTAGTTGATATGGACCTCCTCTCCCACCCCTGTGATGGACTGGTGTCCCATCCAAGGTGTAGTCCTGCCTTGGGCACAGTGCCTGTTGGTTTAGGCTCCAGGTCACTGCTAATCTTGCAGGATCAGTGGTTAATAAAAATAAATGAATATATTGATTTATATGATGGGAGTATTTATGGTTCTGTGCTGGTCCCTAAAGGAAGAAAGGAAAGGGTGATTGAAGGTGCTTTGTTTCATTGCTCTATTCAGAATTGTACCTAATGTACTAGCTCCTGTTGGTAATACAGCATTCACTGTTTTTCCAGAAGTACCTGTTGCATCGGTTGATATTTATTGCTTACATTTCCCCCGAGCTAGCAGATAAAAGGGACCTTGGAGGTAGGCAAACTATTTTTTTTTTTTAAAAAAAACACTACAAACTCTCAAATCATTATGATAGCCACTGTTGTTGTTTATAGTCTGAAAGGAACTAAACTATTGACTGATTGGATGATTTGACTTGTGTTGGATAAAGTTACTTTTTAAAATATAATGCTGTGTAGTTACAGTTACAAGCTGCTTGTGTAAAGGATGACTTTTTAAGATGAATAGCATATTGGGGAAAGTTGCTTGTGAGAGAGAATAAGTGACTTATATAATTATAAATTGTTTCCTCTCAGCTTTTTTAATTAGTAAAAACATCTGTTACACAAATAACTTGTAGCAGTACATGACTTTCTACAAGTAACGTTCTGTGAGACTGTGCCCCATCATCAGATAAAATCATTTCTACAGTACCTGTGCGAAAACGTGTGCAGACCTACTGTGTTTGGCGAGAGCCAGGAAAGAGATGTGCTCAGTGATTTGTTCGTTTTTTCTCACTTGGAATCCGTTTTGTGTTGCACTCATGAAGTTAATTTCTTCATTTAAATAAGTAAACAAATGTCTGAATGTGTTGTATACTAATCATATTGCTTGTTGCCGATCTTCCCCCAGCTCACTATGAACAACTTTATCAGAAACTTCAGCAGTTTTACCAAGGAGATGGAGTCACTGGTCTGCTTCTTATCTACCCATCCTATGTGGTTCATACCATCGAGGTAATTGGACCGTACTCGGGTGAGATCTTCCGTTGCTCAGAGCAACTGGTGCTAGAGTGTTTTTTCCACTCAAGGCTGAGAATGAAGAGCACTCTTGCTGTGACTATGGAGGCCAACAGCTACAAGTCACAAATCTTGTAGGGGAAGTGAAATGTTTGGCCTAGATGAACAAAATCATTCCCTTTCGAGACAGAGTGGATTCAGAGTACATCAGCGGGGTTTGAGACACACTTGTCTGTCCATCACAGATTTTCAGCAACACCTGTTTTAGTAACCTACCTTCCCTCTACATTTATGAAGTCCTCGACTATTCATTTGACTTCGAGTGGCTTCCATTTGCGGATCCTCTCTGAATTATTCTGACCCCAAAGTAGAAAAGCATAAATGTAAACACTCATCACATTACATTTTTTCCTCATTAATGTTGTCTGTTTTGCAACTCACCTGTCCCAGTCCTCCAGTGATGTCCTTTTCTCTGTGCTGCGAGACCTGAGGAACATGCAGGAGCACAGGTGAGATTGCTGGTTAAGAACAAAGAAAAGAGAGCTTGTACAGTATCTCTGGCTTGTTTGTGCTAGATTATTTAATACACATTAGCATCACAGAGTTGTGAAATGTGCATTTTGTACTCAGACTTCTGAAGAACATTAGAAATGTAATAAATGAGGGGCAATCACTCAGCTCATCAGGTCTATTAAGTTGCTACTGTAGAAGCTAACTGATGTGAAGATCTTATCCAGCCGATTCTTGAAAGAAACCAGGCCATCAACTTCAACACTGTGGCTGGGTAGCTTGTTCCAAACTCCCACAACTCTTTGTGTAAAGAAGTACCTCCTGGTATCAGTTTTAAATGCTCTTCTCCCTTGTGTCATTGTTGGTTTCTTATGAATTCAGATTCTGCCTTTTAACTTTATGTAAGCAAAACATGGACTTAAAAGCTGTAAACTTGTTAAATCTTCCAAGTATTACACATAAGAGCTAATTATTATTCATACCTATTATTAAAGACACCAAAATGCTCTGAAAAAGCTACAATAACTCTGGATGGTAAGATAATACATGCACAGATGGATAACAGAAGGCATATGTACTTTAAACCAAGGAGCTGCTGTTTGATATCCTTGTTTCTTTTTATTATGAACAGAACCCTAATTGTGGACCCCAAAATATTGGTAATGTCACATGACATTCCAAACAGACTATTCCAGCAGTGGAGCTACAAGGTACTCAAATTACCAGCAAGGACCCTGGTGGACAAGTCTCACAGGGAGCCCACTGAGAAACTGGTCAGTGAGTCCCTGACACTGCTGCTCAGACTGGGCACGTACCTCCTCAGGACTCCCAAGGTACAGTATGGCACCCCGTGAAAAAAAAGAACATCTTCTCTGCAGTTCTGAGGGGCATTGTTAACACATAATCCTCTTGTTGATCTTCAATCAACATAATATCCTTGTTCATAACATCATTTTGAAAGAGTCACTCATCACTGAATAATTAAAAAAGGACATGTGACAATTAATCGGTCAAATTAAAAACAGATAATGTAAGTTTGAATAACTTTAAGTGTGACAATGTAAGATTCTAATCCACCTATAACTAATACTGGTTTGTCCATGGAAACAGCTACTCCAGGAAGCAAGAGTAGACTTGTTCATTGTTTCATGTTTTTTGTGATAAAAAGGTGTATCTTGTTCACATATACACATTGGTGTATTCTTGCCTTGTTCACACCAAACACATCACTGAATTTGAAAAATGCTTTTAAATCAGAAGTCTCTTTTTTTCTTTCAATAGAGCTCTAAAACCCCTCCAGACTCAATCCTGGATAAAGTTCCTGAACTGATCATCCCACAGGACACGATCGGAGACCTTTTAGAAAGAGAGGAGCTCCTGAGCTCACAGAAGTACCTAGAAACCTATGATTCTCCATTAAATATCGTGATGGATTCCGGTAAGATAGTGTATATATTCTTTTTAAAATGAAAATGAATTATTTTTATATTCTCTTAGTATTTCAAGATATATATTATACCGTATATGTACAGCTGCTCCTAATACAGAACAGTTTACCACAGGATTGTAGTAATATTTTTCTAACTATGCTCGTTTCTTCATTGTCGTGCTTTCAAAAATCTCTTAGTTTCAATAAAATAGTAAGGCAGCTTGATTTTAACAACGTGGAAGCATTAGATTTGTGCAGAAATGCAGAAATGAGTGTGTGTCCCTCTTTAAATGTTGTTACATGCCATCTGTTCCAATTGGTTAAAGGACATGTGTTTGGGAGCACCAACCCCACCACAGTATAAACTGTGGGAAGAAGGTATGAGTTCACACTTTTACAAAGTGCATGCTGCTAAAACATCTGCTGTTGGTTGCACACTGTTAACAGTCCCTAACAGATAACACCACATGGCAAACCAACATCTTAAGGTGCATGAGGATTTGAACAAGTGCTCCTCCTTCTGGACTGGCACTCTGCCTGAGGCCTTAATGACTTATTTGCATTAAGAATAAGTTTGAATTATTAACTTAAACGGCCCGATTGGCAACAGTGTCTGACTCATTAGTCACTGAGGAGTTTGTGATCTCTGTTAAAACCTGTACCAGCACCAGCAATGAGGAGAACTAGTTTAAACAATTTCAATCTGTCACACAACAGCATCTAGCCCGTTGACCTTCATGTGTCAATCAACTCTCTTTCACACTAATACATGTACAGATCTGGATTTAATACAATATTTCTCTATAACAGATCCTAACCCTTCATGACTGACAATGTAGTGGATGCTGTAAAACCCCAAATAATTTCTTGTTCATAAAATCTTGACATTACATTGTTATTCTTCTGTATTCTGTCTAACCCCAGGTAAAATAATTTTTGGTATTTTAAATGCTACACCTGGGTCATGCACATTCTTTTTCCCCCAAAAAAAACTGCACCATGAGAGTCTCACGTTGTGAGGCATACTCTCCTGCTCTTTTAAATTGAAGTTTAATTTTAAGATGGAAGGCTAATCATGTCTTTTTCTTGTTTTTAGAACGTGTCTGGCCCCCTTCGGAACATCTTGGTCCCATATAATGCGGAAAAAACAATTCTGTCTGCGAGCTCTGCTTGTAACGACACTTTTTTAAAATAAAAATAAAGATTTTGTGGTAAATCTTGACGACTGATACACAAATGGGCAAAATAACCCATCTTTGGTTACCAGTCTGTGGGTTTCACATTGTCCAACAGCGACAGCCTGTGGAGACGTGGTATTACTATAATATTTCATTTTTCTGTCCCAGTGACATGATCTTCTGCCCTCTAATCCTAGATTTGTTATCCTAGATTTACTGTATTAATGGCATAGTAGACTACTATTAAAGACTAAAAATCGAAATCACTGTTATATAATGTCTGCAACTGTATTAGAATGCTTTAGAAGGGAATATTTTGTTTTAATTTTGTATTAAGCTACCAATCTACCTTAATTAGGTATACTTAGTTTATACCTAGTTTGTTGAATCCATTTCTATCTTTTGTTTAAAATCATTCCATTATGCATAATCAGCTATATAACAGTCTAAACTATTGATGCCATTTAAGACCTATTGTAAAGACCATAGGGATAGGTATAAGGAAGCCATACCAAGAATATTAAAAACAATTTTTTCTCAACCTGGAAACATTTAAGTGCTCAGTTTTCAACTATATCACGTACAGTGAAAAAACTAAATTACTTTTAATTAAGGATTAATTTTTTTTATAGGAAAGAAGTGGATAGGGTTGCAGACTTTCCATTTAATTTTTTTTCTTCATTTTTTGGAGCTTATCCAATCTCTACCACTCTTTAGTTTCTCAGTTTCCCTGATTTGTTAATCCCCAGATACTTCACTTTCCAAAGAGAGGCCAGCATTTTCCAAATGTGAATGTCTGAAGATACTGTATAAGAAGACAACAAGCCAATACCTGCCCTTATCCTGTGCTCAGGATAGAAGTATAAATTATATAATTCCAAGTATTTTAAAGGTAGCTACCAATACATGTGTTCCTCGGGACTTTTCTGGACCTTATGTAAACCTTGTGAATCAAGTCTATAGTTCGACAAGTTATATCCTTATATCGGTGGAGCCAGCATCTTGTGTTGCAGACATACAGTACATGTATAGAATCACACTCTGGAACTCAAATAGCAATGCCAGTTGAAATAGTTAAAAATGTAGATTTTCTTTTTCTCTTTAATCGGTTTTAACATTTTGATAAGAAGGGATGTTGCAGGTCTCAGGAAACAGACTGCATTTGACCAGTAGGAAGCAGACAAGGAAGAGAGGACCAACATGTCCAACATGTCCAAACAGACTGACCACTCCCTTTCTTGGCTCTTCAGAGCTGAAGTGTCCAGCAGCCCTTGGACATCCAAAGCTGACTGCAACTAAAAGAAAGTCCTTCTTCTTTTCCTTTTTTCCCCACCATGTTATTCTTCCATAACAATGTCCCCCCCTTTTTTTACAAAAAGGATACATCTGGGGTTGATCATCTATACAGTTTGAGCATGCACCAGATTTACAGATCTTCTTTGTACACCAAGTGACCTGTGCTTTCAGAGAAAAGCAAACATAAAGGACTAAGCTGCCCCATTCACACCTGTTCTGGTCCATTTTTGTTTTCTAGCTCAAACAAATTCTCTTTGTTCTCTGAGTCTGATTGTTCCCTCCCGAAAACACCTTGGCATATACTGTCTGCCACACTTTGGAAAAAGTGTGTCAGGCAATATTCATTGTAAAAAACCCAACCCAAAGTCAGTTGTTTTCCCAGCAGTGTTACTGTTCGCCTCTTCAAAAACCCAGGTGCTTTAGTGGCACATTTGAGGGATCCAAATTAAGACAGGACAGTGGATTACAAAGACTATTCAATGGATTGTCTCCCTGCTTGGGTTGCAAGACACTGGAGAGGAGGGGTAGTGGCGACTGTATTTTATTGCTTAGCTGAAACTGGGAGGTCACAGCTGATGGTTTTGGCCATGAAACTTTGGTCCATACCCTCTTACTACCATCAGAGATCATTTCCATTTGCAATATTATATTTACAGTATATCGTCATCAGTCACATTTCTTTATTACTAAGATTAATTAGTAAAATGAACGTGTTTCTTTATAGCTTGTTTTGACTGAAAGCAGAAATGGATTTGTCAGACAGGAATCTTAGCCTTTCATCAAAAAAGATCTGTGCTGGGAGAAGCTGTTTATTTTTTTTATTTAGTGTACTTAGTATTACAGCTGAATTACTGACTAAAATTGGAAATATAATCAGATTCATTTTATGCAACTAAACAAGAATCCTGTTTGAACCAAAAGCATCAATAAATTATTTAGTTTGTACATGTCTTTGGAATTAATACGCAAAAAGACAATCATTCCCAATAAAATTTGGAATAATTTTTTTGTTCGTGACAGCTGGGATACAAAGGACATCAATAACTGACATTCTTTTTTAAAACATGACCAGAGGTTAGTGGCAACAATGCTGATAAACTTGACTGTAATGAGATTATCATCACTACATTCCAGCTAAATAAGACTTAAGTAGATGTTAAAGGCTCTATTTAAAAAATATATATATGTCAGAATTTGTTTGAACGTTTCTGTGGTAAATTACCACAAGCTTCCTTGTTTTCTGTGGGAAAACCATTTCATCAAAATGCACAACTCCCCTCTTATGTAGCTGACGTTTCTTTCACAGAACAGAATCAAGATAACAAGAATTACAGATAATCAAATTACAAACACAATTACTCATTTACCTTGCGCATTTCCACAACCAGACTGAGAACTAAACACAGACACAATTTCACCGTCATTGCTAATCATTTTTAAAACTCTGCACCAAAGCACAAGATAACGTTTTTCACAATTTTCATCGGCAATCTCTGCCTTCAGTACTATTGAAAAGACATCCTATCCACCGGAGCTCTGGGAAATTGAACAGTGTGTAGGTATTATCTACTAATCCCTTACAGGTGAATGTGTCAAACTTCCAATATGGTTTTCATTTTCTGCTTCTTCTGATTGGTACAATCCTTTTTAGGTTCTTGATAATTGGTTGTGGTGCCAGATATGGTAATATCACTGTCAAAATGTTATTTTTTACTGAAATGCAACTCGGATGCCCCTTGTCGAAGCACGACTCCCTTCTCTCGCCAGCTTCAGACTTTATTGCTAATTGAAGACACAGAAAAGTTAACCCTGGCAGGAGTCAAGCTCTGTACTGATCATCTGTTTCTTTATTCTGCATTTCTGTTTCGATATTTTGATCAAGAGCAGCTGGGCCGGTGAGGCCAGCTCTCCTAACACAACGGTCCCAATCTCACCAAACCGCAGACTGTATATGTGACCGATTTAAAAAAATGATTTGTGAGCAGTTTCTTTTAAGGGAAAGCAACCAAAGTCTATTTCAACTTTTTTCAATGCAAAAAGAAAGGTACTGTCACTTTCAAACAATGTGATGGAAAAATATCGTCAGAGACAGAGAAAGCACTATCACTGTACGCCATCTCAAAGCTTATAAAACACACACCCCAAGTATCTGCACTTCTAATTAGAAATTCCTATAAAATATGCGGATCTTTCAACAGTGTCATATTCATCATTCATGTTATGTAATTAAATCTAAGTTAGCCAGTGCTAACTGTGCAAAAGCTAGAGTATCTTACTGTATCTCTGGAAAGCGTGAATCTGGCCACGTTGTGTCAGGAACAAAAGAACACCACTTTTAATATATAATATTTTTTCCATGTATATATACACGTATCTATATACAGCATCTTGTATTTACACTTGAATTGTGGTAACAGGTAAGGTAGATATATAGCACTTGAAATTAAAAATTAAAAGGAGCAGCATTGTAACATCCAAGGCTGTGCATATGGAAACACAACTCTCTTTAGGAAAATATCTCTGATAAATATGAATAAAGATATTTACTGTTTCAAGGAAAAGCCCTGAAATGAGATGTCAGCACTATAATGTTTTCCTTCTGTGCTCCTCTCCTGTATAAAAAGTAGAATTTTGTCACAACGTTCTGCAGGCTATACACACAAATATCATAATGCACAAGGCCTGTCCCAACACACATTTGAACCGTTTTTCTAAAACCTTTTATCCCTTCCTTCAAAGAAGAAAGTAGCTTTATTAATAACTTACTTGAATCAGTTCTTTTTAGAACTGCCCTTTAAATCTCTGCACGTCTCTGGTCTCTCTGTTTAGAAGGGTACTCCAGCTGGACCGCTCAAGGAAGCAATAGAATGACAATCATTCTGACCCCCAGCGGTTATAAAGCACCCTTGTATTTCCAGTGAGTGGAAAACCACACAGTATCAGCAGCTTTTGAGACTTGAATAACAAGCATGGGTTTACATCTACACAATACAGCAACTGTATGACACACAGGTTGAGAAGTGCAGTATCTCCCCTTTCTCAAGGCAGTTAAACCCAATCATGTTTCCAGTTGGCAGGGGTCAGAGAGACCATCAAGAGCATCTATGTGGAATTCAAGGTACAAAGTTTACAGGTGCTAGAATTAATTAAGACCAAGAAAGTAAATGAACAAGGAGAGGCTGTTCGCCATTCATTCCATTCAACAGATAACATAAAAAACTAACAACTGTATCTTTTCATAACTATGTTCTCTGTTGCTAGATTTGTGCCTTTAATTTTAAATGTTTAAAATTATTTTCCAAAGAGAAACAGAGGAAGCAGGAAGGAAGCAAAAGGTCAGAACAATCAAAAGTGCCTCAGGCACAAATCTCATTGGATTTCAGAAAGTAAGGTCACACCTATGCAGCTCTGATATGGATAAGAGTGTAGGAGCAAAGTCTTACATGGTAAGACAGCTTCAGACAAGATGGAGATCCTTGTCTGAACCACATTACCCAGAATGACATGGGGGGAATTAGCTATTCCCCTCACTCAACAGGTGTCAGACAACTGGTCAAGTGACACTTTAAAAAACAGGACGCTGAGGCTGTCTGACCCTTCTGCGCTCTTACAGACACATTAAGACGGTGCATGCCTACAGTGGAGCAGCACATTGCAAGTCATGGTGCTGCATTTTGTTTCAAATTGACATCACTGGGTTTCACTGCAGTGCCTTTGGGAAAAGAAGTCTGTCAATCCTGCTAATCCCTGGTTAATGCACCCCTAAAGAGAAAAGAAAAATTCTGCACTTCTGTAATCTTGGCTTTCCAGTGTGAGATATGCACAGAACTTTTTTAATTTTCCCCAAAAGAGTGAATTCACTTTATATTCCAGTAGCTGATATGCCGGTTCTTGAGGCACCGGTAGTAGAGTACAATGGAAATATTCCAGAAGAAGATTAGGATAATAGAAATATATATGAATACAAAGGCAAAGCTGTATTGACACGGATAAGGCAAAGACAAATTAGAAACCAAAAAATAACACGCCACTGTGGGGAAAAGTACAACATTGTGTTCAGCTCCTTATTTTAAGA